AGGAGGGTTACCAATGTGTCAATGTGAAACCGAGGCGAGGTCTTTGTGTCCTTTTTTCTGGATGTAAGGGTGCCCTCTAGAATATTTCCCTGGACCCGTTTTTCCCCGGTGATCGTCGGGATCCGAGGTCCTGTCACACCTGGGGGGTTTCGGCGTTTCGGGTTTCCGTGAAGCGAGTTCCGAGACCGCTTCCTCGGGAGATGATTGTTGTATGGACTTCCACGAACCTGACTCGATCCTTTCGAAGAGATCTCCAAGCATCCTCGCTACGGTAGGGTTGGTTACCGATCCGTTGTTGCTTGATCTCTCGGGTACTCGTTCGGTGTAGGGAGATGTTTCCGGCGCTACTACGCTGGGAGTCTCCGGGTGACTTTGCAGCTGAGCGATAGCCAACCGCTGTGCCTGCAACATTTCAAAAATAACATGAAGACTAACTTTTTATTCTTCCCGGGCTGGGGTTTTTTGAGCTTCATGTTGGTCGATATGTTGTATGCTACCATCGGTGCGCGAGGCTTCGTCGACTTGATGTGTGTCCTGCGAATCTGCGTCCGCTAGAATCGGTCCGAACGCAATATCAGGATTCTGTGGAGGTGCTCCAGTGGCCGGGGCAGCCACGCCATTTTCCACGTAATTTTCGAGGTTGTCGTTCTCAACTCTGTTTACCGAGCCAGACATTTTGACCTGAAATCAAAGGATCTTGGACAAGAAAAAGTGCGAAAGATAATGTGTATTTGTGCAATAAAACTAGCAAGAAAATAATCACTATTATTTTTAGCCCCACGGTGGGCGCCAAACTGTTTACCGTGAAAATGGTAACAACAATTAGATTTGTAAATGGGATTCTAAAAATACGTGATCTATTCCCGAGTTAGTTGTTAGAACAGTTGATGCTAATAATATTAAGTTTAACGATCAAGTGCGAGCTAAAACTAGGCAGTAATCAAACCGAAGGGCCTAATGCCCGGTCACAGGGCTGATCGATGGGGACCTCGGGGTCCAGGTTCGGGTCAAGCTCGAGGTATCTGGGGCAGCCGGGGATGGGATAATAGTTGAAGGTATAATTAATAAGGCTCTTTGTGGCCAATACTAAGCAATATAGTGAAGAACAAGTAAGAGGACGATAAATATTAAAGTGGCCTCGGGCCAATGAGAACAAACGAGTTAGAAAGAAAAGAGAGAGAGAGAGAGATATTATTGCACTTGTGGAGAAATGGAGCAACATCAGTCCCTTACAAGGTAGGGTGAGTCTCCTTTATATAGGAGGGGGCTCAGTTACAAGTATATGGAGTTCAATTGCAAAGTATGGAGATGGGATGGCTTGACGTGATGCCTCGACATAGGCTCTGGATAGGCCGGCCCTGTCAGACTTAGCCGTGTGCCTTGGGAGCTTCCCCCTCTGTCCTGGCTTCGATCTCCGTTTCCTCTGAATCGGGCCTCGTCGAGACCCGAGGTCGAGAACTCGGTCGTGGCCTCCCATCCTCGGTGTCCCGAGGCATGCTTCTGGAATGACTCGACAGCGAGAAATCAAGTCTTCTGATTTTGCCGCGTACAATGGCGTCTCACCTGTGCTGGTTTTTGTTGTGGTGTGGTATGCCCATAATACCTCTGGTAGCAGTTCCAGCCATAGCCCTTTGGCGTCCTTGAGCTTTTTCTTCAATATGTTCAATATTATTTTGTTGGAGGATTCTGCTTGACCTTCGCCGGTGGGGTGATATGGCATGGAGAGTATTCGCTTGATGTGCTATTTTTTGAAGAACTTGTTCGTCTTTTTCCCAATGAACTGAGGTCTATTGTCACAACTGATTTCTTTGGGGATGTCGAAGCGGCGTATAATGTTTTTCCAGGTGAATGTGATGACTTCATGTTCGCGTATTTGGGCGAACGCACCTACTTCCACCCATTTGGAAAAGTAATCAGTTAAAACTAAAAGGAACTGTATCTTACCTCGCCATGCTGGGAGGGGTCCGACGATATCTATCCCCTATTTTATAAACGGCCATAGAGAAGTGACGGAGTGCAGGAATTCGCCTTCCTGGTGTATCATAGGGGCGTATTTCTGGTGTTGCTCACATTTTTTGACGTAATCTACGACCTCTTTTTTCATAGTGAGCCAGTAGTATCCTGTACGAATTAGACATCTGACGAAGTCCCGGTTGCCTGTATGGGCACCATAGTGGCCCTCGTGTACCTCTTCGAGCACACGCCTTGTTTGATTTGGTCCAAGGTATTTGGCTAAAGGGCCGCCGAACGTCCTTTTGTAAAGGTCGTGGTTTATGAGGTTGTACGTGGCAGCTTGTATTCGAAGCTTTTTGGCTTCTTTTTTGTCTTGTGGGAACGTTCCCTCCTGCAAATATGATATGATGCAGTTGCGCCAGTCCCAAGTTAAATTTACAGAATGTACCTCAACTTGGTCTATTGAGGAGTGGAGGAGGGTGACCACGTTCTCCTTGGTGATATTTTTAGTTGCTACTGCCAGTATGGAGAGACTGTCTGCTTCGATGTTTTGCGCCCGTGGTATTTGGTCGAGTCGGCATTCATCGAATTCTGGTAGCAGCTTATGGATTTCGGTCTGGTATTTTTTGTAGCCTCTGCTCCTTGATCTGGAAAGTCCCAGTAACTTGGTTTACGACAAGATGAAAGTCGCAGCGGAGGATGACTCATCGTGCACTATATTTGAGGGCTAATTTTAGTCCTGCAATTACGGCCTCATACTCGGCCTTATTGTTAGTCATTTTTGGGCACCGTATGGATGGTGAATCACTTCTCCCATCGGGACTTTGAGTACGAGGCCCAATCCAGATCCCGACGCGTTGGATGCACCATTGGTGTAGAGGACCTAGAGATCAGGTCGCCTAGGGGAGGTGCGAAGCGCTTCTCGCTCGACCTCGAACAGTATTTCTGCACTGAAGTCAGTGAGTACTTGTGATTTTATTGCAGTTCGCGGTTGACATGTTATATCGTGCTCGCTCAATTCTATGGCCCAATCTACCCGACAGCTCGGGTTTGTGCAGGATGCTCCTGAGGGGAAAGTCGTCACCACCTTTATGGGGTGACACTGAAAATATGGCCTGAGCTTACGTGAAGTTACGACCAATGCCAGAGCCAATTTTTCAAGGTGGGGATACCTCATTTCGCCGTCAACTAAAGTGTTGCTGATATAGTAAATCAGAGATTGCGTACCTTTGTTTTTGTGGACCAAAACTGTGCTTACCGCATCTTCAAAGATGGCTAGGTAGACAAGGATGCATTCGCCTGGATTTGCCTTGGCGAGTAATGGTGGTGAGGACAAGTAGGTTTTCAGTTTTCTCAGGGCGTCGACACACTTCGAATTCCACTAGAGCCTGTTATCTTTCTTTAGCACACTGAAAAATTTATGACACATGTCTGACGACCGTGAAATGAACCTCAACAGGGCGACAATCTGACCTGTCAGTTTTTGTACCTGTTTTTTACTGGTTAACATTTCTGGTATTCCTTTGATGGACTTAATCTGATCTGGGTTGACCTCGATGCCTCTTTGCGATACCAGAAAATCGAGGAATTTACCCGAGGTTATGCCGAAGGCGCATTTTTTGGGGTTTAGTTTCATGTCGTACTGGCTTAATATGTCAAAGGCTTCCTTCAAATGATCGATATGATCTTCTTTCCTTTTCGACTTAACCAACATTTTTTGCCGAGTTGATCTTTGAACATCTTGGTGACCAGTCTTTGGTACGTCGCCCCTACATTCTTTAATCCGAATGGCATGACCTTATAACAGTACGTTCCTTGGTGAGTGATGAAAGTGGTTTTCTCCTAGTCTTCATCCTCCATGAGGATCTGGTTGTACCTCGAGTAGGCATCTAAGAAGCTTAGCAGCTCGTGTCCTGTTGTTGCGTCGATGAGCTGGTCGATGTGTGGCAATGGAAAGGAGTCTTTTGGGCATGCCTTGTTTAGGTCGGTGAAATCTACACATATCTGTCACTTTCTGTTTTTCTTCTTCACCATGACCACATTGGCGACCCACTAAAGATATTTTGACTCTCGGATGGAGCCATTTGCGAGGAAATTATCGACTTCTTCGCTGACGGTTTCATTGATTGCGGTGTTGAACTTCCTCTTTATTTGCCTCACTGGTGGGTAGAAAAGGTAAATATTCAGTTTGTGCGTGGCAATGTCTTTCGAGATACTTGGCATATCTGAAAGGGAGAAGGCAAACAGACCGGCATTGTCAGTTAAGAATTTACGAAACTTACCGGGTTCCGAGAGGTTGTGCCCGATATAAGACTTTTTGTGTTGTTATTGTTGTCTAGTACGATGGGATCGAGATCCTCTATTGTCGACTTGGATGCTTCCACGATGTCGGGGTCCTTGATAACGTATGTTCGTACGTCAAGTTTGGTTCTCGACATCGCTGATTGCTATGCTTTCGCACTTGTCCCTTTTAGTTATTGGGTGTGTGCGCAATCCTGGGCGATGCGATAGCATTCCTATGTGGTGCGTTGTTTGCCCCGAATGCTGAATATCCCCTATGGAGTAGGAAACATGATTACTTGATAGAGACTCGCATGGCGTGTATCCACGGGCGCCCTATGATAGCGTTGTAGGTTGTATCTTGGTCCATGACGTGAAACATCGTTTCCAGGTGACTCCTCTGGCTAGAACGGGTAGCACTATCTCTCTAGAAGTCCATTTGACTGCATTATTAAAACTTGTTAGTGTTATGCAGTGCAGTATTATTTTATCTTTGGTCTCATCTGTACGAGGACTCGAGGATGGATAACACACACGCCGCTCCCATCATCTACCATTATTCTTTTTACATCAGTATCTACAATGCGTAAAGTGATAACAAGAGCATCGTAGTGAGGGAAAGACAAACCGTCGGTATCTAACTTATCGAAGACGATACTATCTTCGAGGTCATCATACCGTTCTTGAGGGATCGACTGTTTGAGTTTATGTGTGCTGGTGAACTTTACATGATTGATTGCTGTGTCATCTCCCCCGCCAATGATCATCTATATAGTGCGAGGGGGAGAAGGCAGTTTTGGAGGTCCCTGGGATTGTTCGCGTCCGCGGGCAAAGTTAGCCCGTCCTCGATCGCTCAGCAATTCTTTTAGGTGTCCCTGATTTAGCATTCTCACTACCTCCTGCCGCAGTCCAATGCAATCTTCGGTTTTGTGACCCCTTTCCTGGTGGAATTTGCAGAGAGCGTTAGACTTTCGGGGGCTTGGGTCTGGCTTCATCTTTTGCGGCCATTGTACCTTTGTACCGAGTTTCTCTAGTATGTACACTATTTCTGAAGGAGAGACACAAAAATTGTGAGCAGATAGGAGCAGAGGCATACCTTTCTCGTGTCAGTATGGAGGCATGTCGAGAAGGAGCATCTGTGTGCCACGGAAGAAGTGGGATTAGATGTCCTGATATAGGGCTGATGCCTTTCTCGGCCGAGACGGGGTCTCGATTAATCTTTTCGACCGTCGTTGCAATGATCTTTACTTGCTTCAGTTTGAACTGACATCAACTATTCGAACAGACCGTTGAGGTCGTCCTCGTCGGCTCTTACCTCGGGGCAGTAGGCGTTACAGATTTCTTCCCAAGTGGTTGGAGGGTATTTTATGAGCCTGCTTAACAATTTTCTGGTCACTCTCGACCCGTTCCTGTTTAGTCCGTTCTGTAAGGTTGCTACCGCCATTCCCTCTGACACATTTGGCAAGATAATTCTTACCCTATTGAACCGAGCTAAGAAGTCCTTGAGTCCCTCGTCGTGCATCTGCCTAATGGTAAATATGTCGTTTACTCTAGCTTCTACCTTTTTGGCCCATGCATGGGCGGTGACAAACTCTTCTGCTATTTCTTCGAACGTTGCTATCAAACGTGCCGGTAGTTGGGAGTACCAGATCAGGGCTCCTCCCATTAGGGTTTCGCCGAACTTTTTCAGTAGCACCAATGGTACATGTTCTTTCGAAAGATCATTACCTTTTACAGCTGTGACGTAGTGGATGATATGCTCTTCTGGATCGGTGGTACCGTCATATATCTTAAGGCATGGTGGCATTTTGAAGGTTTCTGTAATGGCGTAGGGGTCGCTTCCTCATTGTATGGTTGCTCGATGAATCGACCAACGTCCCGTTTTGGCAACAGCTTTGGGGTGCCTGGTATTTTGTCAACCCTTTCTTGATGCTCCTTCATCTGGTCGCGGAGTGCCTTATTCTCATTTTTCATCTTTTCCATTTTCTTTAAAACGGCTGCGAACGTGTGATTACCTGCGTCAACAGCTATATGAGTGTTACCTGTGCGGGGGACATCTTACTCGTTAGCGATAGCCGTGACATCTATATGTGCAATGTCTCTATTATCCCTTTGGGAGGGTTTATCGAGTATGTTGTTTAGAGTACTCGTTATCCACTCTTCCAATAGTCTTCTTACTACCAGTGGTGCCTCTCCTGTTGTAGACGTGGAGGTTTCCTTCTCACGCGAAGCAGTTACGCTTTCGTGTGGGAGAGGTAAAGCGTCTCCCCTGGGTGTGGTGTTTGGTGTCCCGTTTTCGTTATCTTCCCTGTTGTCTTCGTTGATGGTGTTTAGGATGTTGGTTGTGACCTGCTATTGCTTTTAGCTTTGTATCTCCTTTTCCTGTCATTGTTAGTTTGTGCAAAGCTAGAAAGAGGTGACTATCCCTTTCTACGGTCTAGATGAAACTGAAATCTAAACTAAAGAAATCCCCACAGAAGACGCCAAATTGTTTGACCAAAAGATGTCAAAACCTTTTTAATTAAAACAATTAATAATAATGATGAGGTCAATTTTAGCCAAGCACAACAAAATCTAGATCAAATGATGGAATGAGTAAGCAAGACGAATGATATAACAAGTCTATTCAAAGTGAATAAATACTCATAAATGTGAAGATTGGGGAATCTTAGGATCTTCTCTAATGAACAAGACTGCCTTTGCATTCAATCTCAGATGATTCTTTTACAAAATATTCTTTTGTCTTTTTTCTGTGTCCCTTTTTCTTCACTCACTCTTCCTATTTATAAGGGAGAATCTCCCAAGAAACCCTAAAAAGTACAACATTGAGAATATTCGAAATGCATATTCTTATTGTCTCCTACTAAGTTTACATTATAGTGGACGCCACGCGTCGACTGATCGCCTTTGGTCGTTGTCTTTCGCCACGACGACCATCAGACAATGCATCATAGTAACCTCGTTCCTCGTCCTACTCGGTAATAGTCGTGGTTGTCAAATTTGGACCCATACAAGGATAATGAAACTTGAGAGCATAGATATAAGGGAAAGAAAACATTAGTAAGTCCTAGAAAACTAGCCTGTGGTTTTGTAACCTGAATAGTAACTTACAAGAAATCTCTTAGCTTAATTCGCTTCTCTTATATATGGCAAACAAAAGCTATCAGCTAAAGTTAAGTGTTAACAAAATCAAATAGTACGACTGCAAAAGAAATAGTACATATTTTGGGTGGCGAAAATCGAACCTTTGATCCTCCTAATAGATCAAAGACAAAAGAAGTAAAACTCTCAGGGATCAGTATACTAATCGGTTACACATTATTAACCAATTAAATTCGATAAAATTAGGTTTGATGTTTAACTTATAACAGCAAGAAGTAAAAAGTTAAATGCACAGGATTTCACAATATTCTACATGATGTTTAGAGCGGGGTTTGTTTTCCTGTTGACACCCTACAGTATAGAATGTCAACAAAATTCGTCGAAAGTAAACCGATGGTGGCTCAAGTTCCTCAATGTGATACAAAGAATATTGGTGTACTACAGGGCAGCCAAAGAGAAGCTTTTGTACATTCTTTATAGTCCGATCCTGCTCCTAATTCTATTATGCGATAGGAAACACCCTCAAGGAACTGCTGAAGTAACTTTTCCGATTGCATCTACGAATATCCCGCCAAAACAAGGTAATGATCAAGCCAACAGTAGGTTGAGTAATACAAATGAACACTCATTTTTAGTGTGCTTTTGCTAAAAGCATGTGACTGAAGTATCTCAGCTTCTGGTTTCTATATAATAATAATAAAAAGATGCAAACATCACAGATATCAGAATTCTAAAGCAGAAATATACGCGCATGCATAACTTCTCTCTTCAAAACAGTACATACTTTGGAGTCCGAAACTTTTTTAATCATTTTTTGGACAAAAAACACTTTTGTACTACTTTAAAAAAAATTACATAAATAAGTAAAACGCAGTATTATACGGCAAATTACTTTAACGGAAATTTTGCCGTTAAAGTAATTCGCAGTATAGTACTATGTTTTACTTAAAAAATTATATTTTTTGTAATTCGCAGTACTATACTGCGTTTTACTAAGATACATTTGTAAAACGCAGTATAATAATGCGTTTTACATTAAATAATTGCGTTGTACTCTGGTTTTTGCCCCCAGAGTATAATGAACTGACATAACAATAATTCAATACATAAAACGTAGTATTGTACTGCGTTTTACATAGAAAAATTCTACACACCAACGTCAGACTTGCCTTATTTAAAGGCGTTTCAATTTTATAAAAAATCATTCAATACTTTATTTCAAACTTACGTTCATACTTCTCTCTTCTTCTTATCAATTATTTTT